CAAACAAAAAGACTCGCTATCGCCTAAACAAATAGAAAGGGAGAAGTATCCTTTTCTTTTCTCACTCGCACTCGCATTCACGACCGAGAGAACCCAAGATAGCGCACACTAGCTCGCTCGCGTGTAAAAACAGACGAAGATACGGGGCTTGGTCCCCACTCTTACAATCACGTTTTAGCAATATTTCTCGCTTATTTTTGCAAATACGAACATAAACTTTGCAACATTTTTTATGTATTTTGCAATTSTCTACAACTTTTGTTTGAAACTTTTTTCGATTAAATGCCTAGATTCTAAGATATGGCCATTTTTTATCCTTTTTACCCTTTTTCTCAAATATATATTTTAAAAATTTTTGTATATATTTATGCAAAAATATATCCTCTATTCGATTCAGCGTCATCGAATTATCATTATATTAAATTTTTCACAATTACCGGAAGAAATGGAAATTTGCTTCTTTTTGACTGGGCTAATTCTCGATAGACGGAATTATACTCCGATGATCTGCACATAATTCAATTAGTTGCACAAGTTCTAATAGTGTTTCTGATAGTTATACAGGGTCCAAGCGCCACACTTATCCTGGACGACTGTACAATTACACTCGGTTTGCAAAAGTCTAGTGCTGTGTATGTTTTGAATGCTACTTCTACGAACTTCGAACGTGCTTTTCTGAAAAAGATATATTTAGGTAAGTTTAATATTCACATATTCTTATATTCTTTTTTGACCATTTATACAGTCTACATCAAATATTCCAATAATTGTATCATAGTCGCCAATACTTAAATAATAAAATAAATTGTTGACTAGTGAACTATTTATGGACAAGATCGAGATATGCAACATATGCGATAAAGCACTGGAGTGTGCTACGTTAAAAGTCGTCGCCGTTAAAAAAAGGGGTCTGAGGTCATTTGTTGCGAAAAGCAAAGAAATTGGCGATAGAAAATGGAAGATTTGGAGCAGACATACCTCGGTTCTCGTGCATACCGCGTGCCGCAATATATACTCAAAGGCAACAATCAAAAATGTGGCCGCAAAAGCAGCAAAACTGAAAGCTTTATCGACATCTTCTGCTGAAACACCTAGTACGTCAGCGAGGATTTCTGAATCGCCGCTCACGAAAAATAAATTCAATTTCCGTGACTTGTGCTTAATATGCGCAAAGCCATGGAAGGAAAAGAACAAGCAAGGCTCCGTGATACATAACGACTATATGAAGGTAAAGCTCCTCAATATAGCTAAACAGCGAGACGATGACATAAGCATCGATGTGCAACATCGATTGAAATATGTCAATTCTTTAGTTGCTGTGGGCGCACGATATCACAACAAATGTTACGTGCTGTTTTTGCTAATCCCAACCGACACGTCGAATCGTACTTCAGAAACAAAAAATATGGACTCGGATTTTCAATTCATTGCGGAGCATATAAAAAATTCGCAAAAAGGAACATTCACAGCAAATGAATTACTGTATCTTAAAGGTAGCAGATGTTTTTCACAAGAATTTTTGTATCGAAAACTGAAAGAATATTTTCGAGAAGATATCTACATTTTGCGGCGACAAGGCCATGTAACATTGATCTTATATAAATGCTTCAGTGTGTCCGATGTATGTGGAATATGGTATCGTAATCCGAATTCCCTCAATATCAAGCAGCAAGAAGCATTAGTAAACGCAGTAACAGAGATCGTCCGAAAAACTATCAAGAATGAATGAGCAGGAAGACGATTCCTACATGGAGTACCATTTATAGGTATATTTAGTATTTCATAAAAACTCCGTCTCATCTTATTTTCGTTGAATGTTCGTCCCATCATTGAGTGAAACATAATATTAATTTAAAAAAGAAATCACCTAGTACAATTAGAAAAATAAAACCATTTCATTTCTTTACAATTTCAGAAATACCCAAATTTATTGCAATTTACACAGTTCGCGACTAACTTTGCCTTCATTATATTCTATATACAAAAATATACAAATCAATTTTTCTACTTCTAAGGTATGTCCCACCACGGGCACTGGTGTAACCTTGAAGTGGGAGTTGCTGTTACAATAGGCAGGTAGCTGTCAACAATCTTCGGATACTTGTCAACGGAGTGAAACTCCGTGATCGCAAACAAATATCTCTCTCTTTTAGGACAATGATTAAAATATATGTCTTAGTTGTTTGTTGCTATATTAAAGAATAAAATATTAACTCCAATTCAAGTAATAAATCTTCTTTTATCTTCGTAAGATGGTAAAAATGTATAGCTTCAAATATTTTGTAATATTTTAATTTTCTGTATATAAATAGAAATTTAGAAATGTAAAAACAATTTGTATAACTTAAGGATAGAAAAACTTAAAAAAAAAATTTCCACCACATAGAATCGAATAGTAACTAACCCGCGTGAGAAGCAGAGACGATACTACTTATCCTACCGTGCCATTTCAAAAAAATTCCATTTATTTCGTATAATTTTTATTACATAGCCCAGTCAATAAATGGAAAATGATGCCCGGAAAGCTGCCAGGGTGAAAAGTTGATATTTATGGTAATTCGACGACGTCGAATCGAATAATGCTAATTTTTTTGCAATTGGATGGCGCAAATCCGAGAGAAAAGGTAAAAAAGGGTAAAAAACAGCCGTATCATAGAATCTAGGCATTTAATCGAAAAAAGTTTCAAACAAAAGTTGTAAATAATTGAAAAATACATAAAAA